AATATTTGCTGTTAGAAATAACTTTTTTTGTATGCCAAATTGTGTATGCAAAACAAGAGGCATCCAAAACTGAAGGACACTTTAGATGCTAGTCTCCAATAATTTGATTTTCTGAGTAAAGATTTTTCTAGACCTGCAACAGGGGTTTTGTTCAATAATGTCGGTTTATATTTAGCTTTCGTATAGCAGATAGAGAAAAAAAAATCTTTGGTTAAGGTCTTTGAGCCAAGCATCTAGGATAAAATTTTCAAAAGCACTCAACAGTGGCTTTTGAAAACAGAATTAGGCTAGTTGCTGAGACAAGCTTTGAAAGCTACCCCCTACCTCCTTTAGCATTTTAACCGAGAGCTGATTTCCTCGGTTATGGTGCCGTTCCTCATTTTAGTCTCCCCATCTCATGGCCTTCACCAGTATCGCTAAGTCAAGTTGGATTTAAAACCAGGAAAACAAGCAGGAGACTAGGCAATGCGGGAGCTTGTGGTCATGACCTCCCCGGCATGTCTGCCGCCTGAGAGTGGTGTAGCTGGACACAGGGATGCTCCCTGGGTGGCTCCCACTTTCCAGCCAGCCTTTGTTCTCTTTGTGGGAGCACTGGCTAATAGAGGTGTACACCCTCCACCTGATGGTTAGGTGAGGCTATAATTACCTCAGTAATAAAGGGCTGATTCTTCCCTGCTCTGCATCTCCTCGGCTGGTCAGGAATACTTGTCTAAAGTGGGTGCAAAATGCTAACAGATCAGAAACATGACATTTTACATCAATGGAAATGACCAGGTGTAAGGAACAAAGGCCTACAGAACAATGCTCTCAACTCTCTTGTCCTTTAATTGAGTAGTTCCTTGGGCAATGACACTAATGAGGCCTTGTTTCCTCAGGGTTGGATTCTCTAGTACCTAAATGGGATATGAGGTTTTCCTGGGGAGAGAGGCATTTATAATTTCTCCCTCCCAGGTAGTGTCCAATTTGGGTGGATGTCATGCTGCAGCTTTTCTCTTGGTGGGGACGCCAGTGGGACTTCTCTCCTCTTAGCTGCTCATTTTCCTGAAACCTACAGGAATTTTTGAGAGCTCTGCTCTTCTATTAAATTTGGCTGAATTTGGTCAAAGGGCTTAAAGTTAGCAGGGGATAGGAAGACAAATGCATCAAATGAGACAGCAAAGTCATAAACCTTTTTCTACTAAGAAGAGAAGGTTAAATATTATTTTTACGTACAAGTTTTCTAGTTGTGGTAAACTCATATTTTTTTGCTGCTTCGGTAGGCATGCCTGGCTGCAACTCCTGCAAGCAATATCAGTCAAGGGAGTATGTACAAACGAATACATACAAGCAGGGCATGCAGCTCAGGGAAGAGGCAACGTTACTTAGCTGGGTGCAGAAGAGAACTGGAAAGTTCATTAAATCCACAGAAGCAGCGATCACGTTCTCCAGGGACAGTGCTGACCGGACAAGGTCATGGGTCTGAACAGAGAAAGCAACTGAACAAAGAAGCAGCAAGAGAAGGTTTTCTTTGGGTTTGGTCCAGGACAGCAGTCACAACATGGCAGACAGTGGGATGCGTGCACCATAAAGCTGGCAATGCAGGCTTGGCGTTATTATCAAGCTCTCTGTCCACAAGACAGCAGGGACAGCCCCCTTTCCTATACAGTTTTTAATGGCTCAGAACTGCTTAAGGTCCTTTAAAATGCATAAAACTTCCCCTTTCTAACACTGCTTTCTGGCAGGACAGACATCCAGCTAATGCTTTCACTTCACGTGTTCCTGAATGTCCCATTAATGAATAGGCACCGGCCTAGTGAGAAACCTGACATTGGCTTGCAGACTCCACATCCTTCATCGGATAAGCCACCACTGCAACCTAATACCTCTTCTTGTGATAAAGCCAAGGCTAAAAACACGGAGGGAGCACCCAGGCTGCACTCCCGGAATTGCAGGATAAAGCTGCAGCACTTCCCCAAAACACCACAGTGCCTGGGTGGTGGAGAGGTACCAACTGCGGATGACACACCTCCTCACACTTAGCTAACCCCACAGAATAAGCAGCATTTGTAGGTTATGTAGAGTTTTTTACAACATTATAGCTGCCTGGGGAAAAGCAGACTATCCCCAAATCCACCCTGAGATGCCCCTCTGACTGCAGACACCATTTAACTTCTACTTGTGCACAAGTTTCCCAAGCAGGTTTTCCGACATGAAAAGGTAATCACATCTGTGTGTTTGTGGAAGACAGAAAGCTGCACAGACCGAGGGCTGGGAGCTCTCCCTCTCTGGGTCTGTCCCTGTTGAACTCATCTGGTGTGAGGTGGAGACAGAAGCAACAGATCCCAACAGTCCCGAGCTGTTATGGCCATACCTTCAGGAAAAGTCCAAGGAACTACCAACGGACCTTCCTGAGCAACAGATCAATATGAAGCTTCATATCAGCCGAGCCGTTATTCACACCAAAGGCAGTTGTTTGGATGAAGGGATGAAGAGTGCACAAGTTCACCGGTTCTCAGTATATAAGCTCTTTTTTCCCCCCTCTCCTGTAGATGCCTTCATTATTTATGTGTGACAAATAAAACACGGCAGTTGAGGATGCTGAAGTGTATCTCAACAGGCACCTCTGTTTCCCGTTATGTTCAGAGCCCGAGAGTGTGCACCCACGTCAGGCTGCGGGTACGGTGAGGAGCTGGTGTGCCGCTCCAGCCACTGCGACCAAAGACTGCTTAAGGTGTATAATAAAAGCCACTGCCAGGCAGTAGTTGATAAAATATGCACCTGCTACATGCCTCTTACCCCACGTAACTCCAGAAGTGACAAATTATCCCAAGGAAGTGTGAAGGAGCTTCATCGACTCAGATGAATTTGCTCTGCAGCATCCTGTGATACGTCATCGCACCTCAGTCCCCATTTCTGCCATCATCCCTATATAGGGACCCACCATAAATACGATCCCGTAATGCCAAACGCAAACTGCATTCAGATGTATTGAATAAGAAAAGATCAAAGACTGACTATTATAAAGCAAAGGAAGCCTAACATGTACCCTGCCTTTGACTGTTTCTTTTTTTACCATCTTAAAATTCTCCTGAAGCTTCTCTTACCGTAAGAGGATTATTTACAACCAACAACTGAAACTACACAGAGAAAATATACTTGGAGATAAATATTTTTCCTATAAAAAGTAGGAGTTATTTTTATCTGCTTCAAAACAAAATCTTCCCATGGTTTCATACAGAAACCAAAAAAAAAGCCAAAACACACACTGTCCCCTCCAAAAAAAAAGAGCCTCAGCCCACATCCTCCCTAAGTTTATCATAAGATGTCAAGTTGCTAGAAACATAACTATGTAAGTCGTTACCACAGCTAACAACTTTACTGGGGATTCACATGTAGCTCTTTCCCCCCCTACAAAGTCCTAGCCAGATTTTGAAATGTGAGCGGTGCAGTTCAAAAACAAAAAAAAGGACGCGGATTTTTTATTTAGGATGTGTGCAAAAGTGGTTAATTTATGACTACGTCCAAAAAAAAAAAGTGGACATAAATATTTATGATTGGAAATTTCATTATTTAAAATTATTCTATAAATTTGCTAGTAACTCGAAGATGAATGCCTGCTGTACAGTTTGCAAATTAAGTACAATTATTTTTCTCTTCTGCACTTGAATATAACTCACAGCTAAAGTCATTTAAAGGGGTTAACATCAACCTTAATTAAATATTAAAGTGTGCCTGTACCTGCTGCTATTGTTGCCCTTAGAATAAGATATAACCTATTTTTGACAAGTTTTCATCTTTCTCTGTGGAAGACGCTACATGAAACCAAATCAGTGGCAAAGAGGAGGGTAATGAATAATCTATTTCATATTCCAGCAGTACCCAGAGCTCTGAGTGGAAAAATATTCAGTCAGATGATAGTATGAGGCTGCTGAGGTACCACATGACGCAGCTAATGTTTAAATAATAATAATAATAAAAAAAAGCGATAAACAAATCATTAGCCCTTAACAGTTGTTTAATGCAATTTGTTAATGAACGTAATGGTGGGGACTAATAATGAAAGAAAATAAAAACGTCTAAACAGGCGCCAAGTTGCCAGTGATGCTCAATTATTTCCTTGTCAAGTTTTTATGATTTAATGAGCTCCTCTGGGACTGACGGCTGTCAGTCAGTCGTGACTTTTTGACACCATTACAACTTCAAATACAGCAGCAGGCAGGCTGTTTTCCTCGGATTTGAAATACTGAAATGATCTGACAGGTTTAAAGAAAAGATGTGCAAAAAAAAGGGGAGAGAGAGAGAGAGAGAGAAAGAGAGAGATACACAGTTGCTTTTTCTTTCTTTTTCTTTTTTTTTTTTTTCCTTCTATGGGGCAGACAATCTCTGGATGCTGTTTGGTAATGAAAACCCAATCACAGAGGTCATTATCTGATGAGGTTTTTTTGGAACTGGCAGGTTTTTTTTTTCTTTATTTCTTTACTTAATGATAACCCTCGATGGGTTTGCCCCGCATGGGATGGTCAGAGCCGCACAATTTTGTTCACCATTAATTTCAGCCTTTGAAGCTCAGAGCTCTGAAGCAGCAGCAAAGAAAACCCCCCACCAAGCTGGCTCCAAAATAAGACAATCCAGTCTGCCTTAAACAGAATAGCAAATGGCCTCCCATCCCAGAGATGGGAACTGACGTCAGTCAAGCTACATTTTCTGATATTTCCCCAAAAAGTATAGCATTTAAAACCCTTTAAAACTTAAGAGTCCTTAATTAAATTGCTTTTGATTTTGTGTCAGCATAGAATTAGTTTATTTATTCTGTGAGCGCAGCTGTTTAGCAAGGATGAATTTTGCACACAGCACCATGCGTGCGTTTTTTAATTTGTCATTTCTCCGCAAAGGCTGACAACATTCGAAACATTTCGCTCTTTGAGGTTTACATTTGTAAGCACTTGGATTTATTCACAGATGCGCTATAGATGCGACCAAACTAGTTCAGGGGAAGGCTGGACCCAGGGGTGTCACCCTACCTGTGGGTGGCTTGGGCTGCGCTCCCAGTCGAAGTCGCTCAATCCCCACCAAAACGTGTGGATCTGGTGCATCTCACCCGCGCATTTCCAAGCCGGAGGAAAAGGGGAGAGAGAGCAGCAACATTGTGTTTTGAGGAGCGTAATGTCCACCTGAGCACTATTTTACATGGGGGGAGTACATGAGGATGCAAAGCAGGCACAGAGGAGTTATTAACAGGTTAGCATGAGAAACATAGCGATGGCAGGTTCATCAAAAGTGAAGATGAAGGCTTTGCGTGGCAGTCTCTCTCTCTCCCTCATTCCCATCTGAGTGGATGTATCTGATGTGACACTATGCCCTAGATTTATACTGGGATAAGGAAAACTAGCTTCCTTTCAGCTTTTTGCTGATTCCAGCAGGTGGCTAGATAGAGGGCAAAACCTAGTCATAGGTCACTGTTAAGATCAGTAGTCATGAATCAATCCCCATGATAGTTAAATTATTGAGGCAACGCGGAGAATGTCTAGGCAACAGACGGAGCTTAAGATTTCCTTCTTGACAGTTTTCTGCTTTACAAAATAGGCATCTCCTAATTTGCTTAGGAGAGGATAAATACCTTCTAACGCTGCCAGGCTTCGTCCTAATTTGCCTGAACTCAGCTCAGCGCCATCACTTGAAGCTAACGGCCAGAGCTCTGCTTACACAACCCTGAGTGCTTAATTTGAGTGCACGTTGTGACTGAAGGCCGGCCAGCCTCCACACTGCAAGCTGAACACCCAAATCTTTCCGTGTCCGAGAGCCGCGTGATAAATGCCACACACTTCACAAGGATGAAAGGAGAGGGTGCCCCAGGAGGTGGTGAGGGGGGTCCCATGGCCCTGTGACAGTGCAGGGCCATCGAGGTGAGGAGCTGAACATGACCAAGCCGCACTGCACGGAGCAGCACCTCCCAAAAACATGGGTCTGGATTACCCAGGAACTTTTGTTTCAATAAGTATTATTTGCCTTGTGGATCCTTTTATTCTGCATTTATCACCACCTTTCAAAGTCTTCGCTGTGGCATCAGTACCAACATCCTTTTAGCTGAGTTATTTGTTTCCATGTAGAGAAGAGAGGGGATGTATTTAGGGCCAAAATCAGCTCCCAGATGCTTATCCCAAAATCAACTCCCAGGGACAGCACAGCAAGTCGGCAGAGACCACAGGGATGCCAAAACCCCAGAAGTACTAAGGCACACATGAGAATTTGGTGCTCAGTTCCTACCTAATTTGGTGGGAGTCTGAAAGCCACCAGCTTTTTGTTTCTTTGAACATCTTCCTGAAAAGATTTTACGGCTTAAGTTCAAGGGCTTAAAATCCCTCTCAATTTGTAATATTTGTAAGGGATCGCATCTAATGAATTGAAAAGTTATGAAAATTACTTTACCGTATCACCAGAAAATGACCTTTGCTGGAGTTGTAAGCTTAATTATAAGCTAAATGACCTAGACCTGTCTATAGGAGAAGCACAGCCACTAGGAAAAGAGAAACACAGCTCATTTACACACAGGTAGATGAAACTATGATATATTATATCAGCTAAAAGCATGTATAAATTAACATTTTTACAGTTTTTGTTGAAAAAGGGGAATATCACATCAGAATTTAGTACACTAAAAGTATTTCCAAGATGTGGTCTCAACATAGTCAGGCCAATATTAAAAATCTAGATTTTTGTTTAATGCACTGTAATCATGTATTTGTCACTGAACTATTACTTAGGGTCTCTTTTCAATCAACAATGAATAGAGAAGTATCTTTATACATCTTCAATAAGGGCCTAGTGTGCATACTTATCAGTACATATATCAACATTGGAAGATTTAAAACAGATCCAACAGACGGGCTGTAGTCACAACTACATTTTGGGCAAGCGATGCATTACCATGATCTTGATGAAAGTGGAATTGTTTTGAATAAGCAGAAAAGAAAGCTTAATTTAAAAAAAAAATGTTAAATAGAGTGTGGGATTCACATCAGATATTAAACATCATCCTAAGGTTGCTCTCTTTTTAAAACTAACTACTGTTCTTAACCAGGTTACATCTATTACGCTAATTCACGTTCAGCAGTTAGTCACAGGAGACAGGTTCACTTTCTACATCATTTGGTCTCTGCTTTACTTATATTCTATATCACAGAAGGTCAGATACTGCTTGATATTCATACACCCCACATAGCACAAGAAAAGTGCAAAGACCCCTCTTCCCTCGCTAAACTCTGGCAACTTACAGGCTAATTGTCTGGGGTAGAATTCGACACACATTAAGCCTTTTTATACTGGAACAAAGCCCTCACCCCAACAAATATTAAAATTCCGAAAACACTCAGATAAGACAAAAAAAATTAAGAAAAAATAATCAGTCCCACATGCCATCAAATATGCCATCAATAATACCAAATATTTTACAGCACTTGCACCTGAGTTGAATAGTGGAAAAGAGAGGGAGACTCTGTCAGTGCAAGAGAATGATTCATGTGACCACTTTGTCTTAATTACTCAGAACAAGCAGTTTGTTGCTGTTTAGTGAAGAACAAAGATATCAGCGTCCCTTGACAGAAAAATAAATAGCCATGATGGTGGTGAAGATGATGATGACTGCCAGAACAACGATCAAAATCCGGTTTTGGATGATCCTGAAAAAAAGCAGAAGAGACAAAAAAACAGTGAATAAAACAAAATAAAGCAAAGTAGCGGAATATATATAAAAAAATCATAAAAAGAAACACACAGATAAATATCTTGGAGAAAAGACATGTGCCCACAAATTTAGGATTTCCTATACTATTCTGTGTATCTTGATTGTTTTTTACTTCTTTCAATTTCCAGTGCTTCCAAACATTTCTTGATGTAGCTATTAAATCCAACTTTTGCATGCAGGAAAGAATTAGACTTTTCTTAATTATGCATACACATATACATATTAGAATAATTGAAATACATCATGATACAATTTATTAACCTTCTAAGAACAAATGAAATAATTAGTCCTCAGTCGATGCAATCCAAGCAGGGTGGTCTGTAACAGTAAATATCATTATATTTTTTAAGCCATTCTGAAATCTTCACAGCTTTTTTTAGCCTGAACAGAAACAATTTATTAATTTTCAAGGGATTTTACTATTAAGGTACAAGATTTCAAGGAAACACATGTCAACGAGATACTTACTTGTACTAAAATACCAAGGGAAAAGTATAAAAGATAGTTTTGAAGAAAAGGATGATATAAAGAAGCAAGTGTCAAACTGTGAAGCTTATGTTGTAAAAGCATCTCCTGTCTCCGTAGCATACCTTTACTTATGGTAATAGGCAAATGTTACATTTTCTATGTAGTACAAAAAAAAGTCCTAATATTGTTCAACCATTTGTTGGGAGAAATCCCTGCGTCTAAAATCAGACACCACATTGCTTCAGATTTTGCCTGGAATTAATAGCTCAATTAAAATGAATAAATCAAAAAACAATAGAATTTGAGGCATTTTATGCGAGGATTCTGGATTGTAAGAATTCAGCATTTGTTATTCCATTCTCGCAGAGGAGGAAGAATATTTTCATAGGCTTTTCATGAAACAGGAACTTTTGCAAAACATATTTGTACATGAAGCATATCGTCGGAATTGGAGAGGTATAGCAAAAAACCCCCAAATAAAACCAACAGAAGAACCCTAAGTTATATTTATTCTTATTCCTTTTTTTCTCATGCTTCTGCAAAACAAAACAAAAGAAAACAAAAGAAAACAAAACAAAACGAAATAGAGCCTTCACCAACCAAACAATGGTAAGAAGAGGTAAAACTGTGTTTTGTGAAACATCAAACCAAGTACAAGGCTCCAACTTGAAGACAGGGAATGTAATGTGTTAAAATGAGCATATTTCACGCAGTGAAAGAGAGAAGAAACTCTAGAGAGCAGAGGGGAGTTTTCCTTGGTAAATGTTTTTCATTTGGATGCGGGTGGATATACATATAAATTATATTGGAAAGTGTAAAGAAAAATGCAGTTTTAACCAACTCCAGCTCTCTCCTTGCTTACCCCCCACCTACAGAAAAAGCAGTAAATGGATGGATGAAAACTGTCACATCAGACAGACACCCTCCCCTGTGACACTCTAAAAGGACTAGCTCTCTATCCTCCTGACAGGTTACAAAATGATCACATTTGCTGACACGTCTTCCGCAAAACTGCTTTAGTGTTTGTGTCCACTTTCCTAGCAGGAGATGAATGGGCTGCTTTGTCCTCATTTATCACTTAAAGCTGAACTAAGATCTGCCTCGTTTATTTTTCCCTTCCTCACTAGAAAGGCTCAACCACAGCATTAATTCTTTCGCGATGACAGCTAATTCAAACTTAACAGGCAATATTTACTCTGCCAAAAGGATGAGGAAGAGGGAGGGATGTTTCTCACTCTTCCCCCCCCCCTAAAAAAAAGAGTAGCAGGCTAACAAAATAAAGCTAATTAAGGGCTTTTGGTCCTTGTTGGTTTGCACTTCAATTTAACACCTGAACTTACAAGCTTCTCTTTTGTGGCGGGGTGTGACATTCTCTGCCAAACACCTGATAACAAACGATTTGCCCAGGCAAATGCATGAAAAAACAGAATATATATTTACTCACCCACCCTCATCACTCCTGAAAAGACACTCAGCAAAATTGAAACTCAGCAGTGAAATAGATTAAAAGCATGAAAACTCTTAAAACATTCAGCCTTAAGTAATACACAGTGCAGCTGGCTTGACAACCATTTTATTTGTGGGATGTGGGCCCCAAGGCATCCATAATGCTAATTTACAAAGGATTAACTGTGAGTGAAACTTGCTTAATCTAACACATAGTTAGGCAAAGGCATACATAACATACTGAGTGTTTAAATCAACTCCTCCTATCTCTGGCCCACTGAAAAAGCATTTCATCGTCTGAGACTTAAAGAAAAATTAAAAAAAGCACCAGATCCTCCAAATGCTTTATTTTTAATACTCTGGCGGTACACACCTGATTGCAAGATTATTTAATCAGTGTCCACGTCTTTAAAATCCTTGTCAAGAGAACACTGAATG